GGGGGGACACGGGTCCCTCATTGGTCCCACACTTATATGAGAGTAGGTCACTCAAGTGGGCAAATTTTTTCTGGCACAATAGCTTTATTCAATGAATAAACATCTTACTCGTGACTCACAGAAGAGAATAAATGAAATTGATTGTGCATAGTTAATCAGATTGATAAAATTGTACTATACTATGCCGGGCTCTTAAAAAATTGGAGTAAATCAAGTTGAAGAACAAAATATTCTTGAAAAAAAAAATTCAAGAATATATATAACCACTACTAAACATTTACAAAATGTGACCTTATTTTACTTTAAATCTAGGTATAGTAGAACATGCCATTGCCATTTCAAATGAATCCTTCAAATGAAACCTTATTATGTGAAGATTTTGGTAAGTTATGTGCTGATGATTCCGAAAGACCTTTAAGCATCTTGATGACTTCAAAAGTATCGTTGAGATAATATTTTGCCATGCTTGGTTTCTGGCCAACCGTGCAGGCAAACACTTCTGCTGTATTGGGCAAAGAATGGTTGGTGACTGAACTTGCAATGAACTCGAACATGTCCTCATCTGATCTGTCATCCCCTATGCACAAGACGAAATCTGGTTGCTTCCCGGCACTCCTCATAGTTCCGATGAGATTCTCGACCACCATACCTTTGCTCACACCCTGCGATGTTCATAAGAACCCACTATTATAATCCCGTGGAGAACATTCAGAACACAACTAGATTGATTCTCATTTTAGCATTGGTCATATTTAGATAACGCATGTGACAAGTTTGGTAACGTGCATTAAATGTCACTGGACACAGGACACTTCAGGAAAGTCTTCTATTGACAATTCATCTAAATTCATTTTTGGAAGATTAAGTTACAATAGAAAAAAGGAGGGTGGTCGATATACCTGTGGGTTCAGCTCAACTATGTGTTGGCCTCTTTTTACAACCACAGGATCATTAGCGAGCACATTCTCCAAGTGATCGAGAAGCTCTTTTGCTTGCCATGAGCTAAAATCAGGGTCGGCTTCCTGATGATGCCAAACTAAAGCACTCTCCTTCTGCTCAATCCACGAACCATCTGTAGCCTCCGTGTAATGCTCCATTACTGGTAAGGCTATTTTTCTCCAGTCAAACTGCATTGTCAACCCACAAGGCTCCCAATCAGAACTTTTCGTCCACCTAAAATAAAAGGAGATAAGTTAAAATTAATAGCAAAATTGTAATCAAGAAACCATAACATCAAAGGAACATATTTTTACCGGGTGAAGTAACCATGCTCTGCAGATAGTCCAAGTCTTTCACATGGAGAGAACCACTCGCCTAGTGAATCCTTTCCTCTGCCACTAACAATGAACACCAAATTCTTCGGATCATTGCATAAATTGTTCAAGACCGAAATAACTTCCTCTTTAGGAGTTTTGTCAACTTTATCCTGGGGCATCATGGTACCATCATAGTCAAGAAGGATAAGCCTGCTATTTGTAACATTATAAGCAGAAACTATATTCTCCACCGAAAGCTTCCTAAAATTCGGACCTAATGCAACAACTCTGGACTTCAAGCCAAACCCAATACCCCAACACCTCTTTAGGTAATGTTCTGCACATGCTCTCTCGAGGTCCTGATCGAAACTCCTAGCCCAGTACGCAACATCATGAGATGTAACATACTTGTAATGCTTCTTGTGCAGCAATTCTTTCTCGGAATCTTGCATTACAATTCCCTGAACCATGGCCACAGCCACCTGATTGATATCCCAAGGGTTGACACGGATTGCACCACTGAGGGACGGAGAACATCCTATGAACTCCGAGACAATAATAACACTTTTCCTGGGTGTGGTTGACCCCTCAAGTCCTAAAGCCTTGTCCAAATCAGGACTGCCCTGTCTAGCCACAATGTACTTGTAAGGCACCAAATTCATACCATCCCTAACAGCATTAACCACGACACTTTCAGAAATAGCCAAATACGCAACCTTATCTTGAACAGAAACGGGGCCATTAACACAAACAATGGGCTCATACCCCGGTTCACCATATTTTCTATTAATTTCATTAGCGACTTCGTTGATCTCCCTTTGAACCTCTTGGATATCATTGCCCTGACTTCTAGGTGAGTTCATAATTTGAATAAGAACTACACTACCTCTATATACAGGATTCTCAGCCAAAAGCTGCCCCAATGCTTGAAACTTGAAACTAATACCCTTAAACATGTCCACATCATCTATGCCTAATATTACAAATTTTCCATCATATTCCTCCTTCAATTCCGCAACCTTTTTTGCGGTGCCCTCCCGTGCCATAATTGATTGAACCCGACCCATATGAATTCCCACAGGGAGGATTTTGATACAAACTGTTCTACCATAATATTCAAGCCCAATGTATCCCCTCTTGGATTGGTAATCCAATCCAAGCATTCTACTACAACATGACAAGAAATGCCTAGCATAATCAAATGTATGGAATCCTATGAGGTCACAATTCAAAATCCCCCTCAAAATCTCCTCCCTAACAGGCAATGTTCGATAAATTTCGGACGAAGGAAATGGACTATGAAGGAAAAAACCAAGTTTCACCCTCAAATATCTTTTCCTCAAGAAAGTAGGCATAATCATAAGATGATAATCATGTACCCACACATAATCCTCATCTGGTTTAATCACTTCCATTACCTTGTCAGCAAAAATCTTGTTTGTTGACACATAAGCCTGCCACGTGGCTCTATCAAACCTGACCCCGTGATTAGGTGTATAAGGCAACATGTAATGAAACAAAGGCCACAGATAATGCTTACAAAAACCATGATAGAATTTGTTCATCAAATCCAATGGCAAAAAAGTAGGTACACATTTAAACTTATCTAATAGAAATTGAGCCACCTCTTCTTGTTCCAATGGATCAATCTCCACTCCCAAACACCCTACATGGATCATCTCCACATCTGGTGAGAACCCATCTTTCAGTTGCAAAACTAAGGCATCTTTATCCCAATCAAAGCACCATTTTTTGCTTTCTGAATCTTTAAAACACTGTAATGGCAGCCTGTTGGCTACAATTATTCTTCTTTCTTGATTGACTGATGAAACCGCATCAGATTCCGTTTTGCATTCTTCAAAATCCGATATGATTCCCGGCACAGAAACCACTTTTGGTATTCGAGTCCGATCGCCGCCACCCGAATAGTCGTCAAGATTCAAGAGATTGAAATAAGATCTCGACAACATAATTAAAACACCCCAAAACAAAAACCAAAAAAATCTTGGATTTTCTTGAATTTTACTGTAAGAAGCTTTGAAGTGGGTGGTGGCTTATTTATGTGTGTTTATGTGCGTGTGGCTGTTACAAACAAGAAGGGTTTCTTAACAAAATATATTCACAGGAATTTTTCATTGAATTTATATACAGAAGAATAATATCTATAGCCTCGACGTATTTAAGGAAAGTTTGAATTTGGAAAACTATTTAGCCTTCATGGTAGGAAAGTGGTACAATGGCTGGCATGGTGCCAAGGATAAGAACAGAGGCCCCGACTTACCAATTTGGGACTACGTTACATTGGAATTTAAACGGCCAAGATTTTCTAGTCCACCCCATCATAAATATTCTGTTCATGTATTTATCTGTCATCACAATCTAAAATTTAAGTGCTTAAAAATTTGTAGATCCTACACTACGTGTATGAAAATAAGTTGAGATAGATACATGAAGATAAAAAAATATGTTTGACTAACTTTACAATAAATTATAGGTCCTACAAAATTCTGTAAGAATAAAATAAGCCGATAATGACTTATGAGTCGTACGAGATATGTAGATAAAATATGTTTAACTAACTTAAATTACAATATTTTCAAAGAGGGATCTCTCTTATCTTTTCTATCTATATATTTTACCAACAATGTTTTATATTAATATTGATTTTAAGTTCTAATTTAAAAATTAGGTGGACCGGCAACGAAGATCAAGTTTCGTAAGCCAATTTAATAAGATTCGACGATATAATAGATTGAATTTTTTAAATTTTCTTCTTTTCGTATATGGTCACAATGAGATTGAATAATCTAATTGATTTTAACTTCTTTTTCTTCTGTTCTATGACGAAGGCCTTCGAGTCGACACATACCATACTAGTTTATAACATAAATTTGATTGTATTCTATTAGTAAAATTTGATACCTTATTCTTTGATATCTTGTCTAATTAATGAATTGGTTTTGAAGAAAGGTTAGGCAATTATTAATTAGTATTTGGATAAGGTAAGTGGTGAATTAATTATGGAACATAATTCACTAAATCAGCAAATAATAAGACTAATGACAAGGTCTGGAACAAGTGAGAAAACTATGTATATTTAGATTAGATTATTTTCACATATGGTAAATTGAAAAAATAAAGAAAACAGAGAGTATTTTTCACTTATATATGTCAAATTTACTTGTAATTAATTTTTTTTGTATTTTTTGAGAAAGTTATATTTTTATGAATCGAAAAGTTACTCATGTTAATGCTAAAGGAAGTTTAAACATTATAACTTAGGGCGTGTTCAGTTGAGATTAAAATCGGATTAAAATTGAAAAATTAGTCGTCATTGTTGACTTTTATTAGACGAGCGATATCCAATAATAGCTATATTTTCAATTTTAATTGAATTTTAAGCCTAGCCAAACATGCTCTTAATGTATGTGTCATGTATCTTATAATAAATTTTTATACAAGGAAAAAATATTTTAGTAATTGATATATTTGGAAAAAAATTGTATGATATTAGCAGGTACAAATTAATTTTCACAATATATAATTGATCAAATAATGAAAATCATTAAGTCTATATTTGAATACAATTTATAAATTGATTACAAATTCTGTCGAAAACAAACATGAATTTTAACCAAACATTTATAACTATTATTTATTATTATCAATATATTTTATGCGATTCATTACTATTCTTCTTTACGAATTTACCAATAATTACAAAAATATAAGCTTTTAGAAAAAAATAAATCTTAAGTAAAATTACTTGCATTCATGTACGAATAATTTAAACGAAAAAAGTGGAACTATAGATTTTAAATGGAAATACTATAAAATCTCATAGAAATAGTTAAATAGAATTTAGAATAGACACTTCCAAGATTCTATTTTTATGTTCGAAAATTCTTGCAATTATACCTACATAATTATTTATTATTTTAAGGGGTCGACAAAAGAACAAATCAAACCAGACAAAATCATAATTAAATCAAATCCAGCGGTTCGATTCGATTTTACAAAATATATGAAACACAACTTTTTTTTGTGCAAAAAAATCACATACCGTTCAATTCTGTTAGTTTGACCGTTAAAAACAGTAAAAATCGTCAAAATAAAAGAGAAATAATTGTAGTTGTGATACCAAACTTTTTATATTTTTGCAAATTACACCAAAATCTTTTATTTGCACAACCAACAATCCCAACCCTTCAAAACTTTATCTTCTTTGCAACAAAATCCCAAACATTTGAATCACATTAAATACCCCTTAAAAACTAACAGAAAATAAATAAATAAAAATAAATAAATACCATCTTCTTCTTCATTAAACTTCTCACCGTCCCCAATCCACCTCCAACCCCAATATCAATATCGCAGACACCACCCCATATTGTCCGGCACTACCACCACTCTCACACCGCCACCATCGATTCACTGAAAACCCAAACAAATATGATTTTATGAAAGTGAAAAGGAGTATAACATACATAGCCAATCGTCAAAATAAAAGTGTTTCCCCTGAGCCCAAACGGTGTATTGAAAAATGAAAATTGTATTGGCCAATAATAGAGAACTCTCATGTTCAAAATAAAATCTTGTTCTATACAAATGAAGTGTCTATTTATTTTTTTTGAACGACTTTTTTATTTCAGTTTTATTTCATTTTTTTTTTCCCAAAATCAATTATCAATCCTTGATAGATAATGAATTCATTGAGTATTAGCTAATATTAATATAACTTCTCATGAAAGCTACTTATCTTCCCGAAATTCATGACAAATTTTTAAAAAAAATTCTACATTTTTGTTAAGGATATAATCGATAATTTGGTACCAAATTTGACTATTTTTACAAGTGTTACCAAAATTTGACACTTTTCAATTGACAAACATGAAATTAGACATTTTTTAAAATTCCCTTTTTTTATTTTACAATTTTTATCTTCTTTGCTCAAAAATTGAAAAGAACTAGCAAGTAGGGACCAGGCTATTCAGTATTCACCACGTTTTTTTGTTATGAGATTCTCGAACGTGACTTTGACAGATGACGTGGCAGGTTTTTATGCACCCACGAAGAGGGCACTCCTCAAGAAGCGATGATAAAACCTCATTGGTCCACGTCACAGGACGAGTGTGGAGATAATTTCTTTCTTTCTTTCGATAACTTGACTCATCCTCATCCACAAACAAGGAACCTGTCATGTTGGGCCCATTTAAAGGTTTAGGTTTATAAGATGTGACCCACTTTATCCATTTGCATTGTGAGATTAATGATGTTAATTATTACAATTAAATACAACCTAACCTAACAAACACCACATAGATTATAAGTTAAAGGTAGAATATTTTAGCTCTTGTTTTGTAGATATTTTTTATTTGAAGAATACGTGATTATAGAGTAGGAAAAAATTACGATTAAAAATGAATTTTAGAAAATAAGGGTCAAATATGGACTTAATATTAAACTTAAACACAAAATTATTTTTGAAAACAAAAACCTGGGAATAAGTCCTAGTCAGGGGCGGATTGATAAGAACAACCCCAAACCCATATTGAGTCCTTGGCAGACCAAAACAAGCACATAACTGTGACTCAATATGTGCTTGTTTTCAATTCCATGCAATTCGATTAGTCTTAACTTGATTTGAATCAACTCCAATTAAACCAAGAAAAAAATTCTCATTTTTCCTCTAAATGCCTCCTGATCTCAGGTTTTACTTACAATAACAATATTATATTAAATTAAGTAGAAGCTCTCTCAATTTGCAAACATTTATCAAGATTTGAAGTACGGATAAACATGTAAAATGTACTTATCAAATACCCCAAAACTTAAACTCTTTCTCTTCCAAACAAGATTATCTACCCAAATGCACAAACAAATAAAAATAAAAATTTATTTCTTAGATTGCTTATTTTCTCAAAATTAAAAAAAAAATTCTCAATTAATTTATTAAATGTTTCAAAGTGATGCAACTAAAATCATTTTCACTCATCGATGCTCAATCGATATGTGTGTATAGTTAATCCAATCATAATAAACATTTAGATTGATTATATATGACTCTCAGCAGTTAATTATTTCCCTTCTCTCACATGGATACACATCCCCAACTTGATATTCAATCTCTCGCACTATGTATTTTATGTTAAGGTTGCTTTTACAATGCACTCATTTTTTTTTTGCTCAAGTTTGGTTGAATTTACCTGATGAAAGCAACTATCTCGATATGTGATAACTCTTTCTAGATTTGAGTGTTCCAACCTTTAAGCTTCCGCTAGGAAAATCAACCTCACCAGCTCAATTTAAGTATCAAAAGCTAGAAAATGCAGCGCTATTCTTATTACAACTTTTTACACACTCACATATAAAATAAAACATAAACATTATATTTTTGTATTTGTTTATATATATTTTTCATTCTCACTTGTAGGTAGACATTCGCTCAAACATTGATAACATCGAGGTCATACCACTTCTTTATATAGTTTCTTCTTTACACACTCTATGATAGATAGCACCGTTCAACTCACCTGTATTTAATTTTTACTGATGCATGTTGCTTCGTCCTACACTTTTTTCTCTTTCTTCTGGACTAGTACAATGCCTTTTGTTGGTATGAGTAGTTGAGATTAGAACTAGCTTATGGTTAATACCTAGCCAGGTTCCACTTGGTGGCCAAACACACTTGACATATACATTCTTTAAGCATGGAATCAGTATTTATTTCAACAGCTCTCAATACCGACTCAAACACCACCAAACTATCATTTCAATTGATTATATTGTTGTGTTTCAATTATGATCTTTGTTGTCGCAATCTAAGTCAAGAATATATTCACCATACTCTATCAATGTAACTAACCCAATAATAATGATTATCATGATGATTATGCTCAAGAATTATTTCAACATCAAATAGATTAGTATACTAGCAAAATAACAAAAGTGGCATCACCTAATCATAATT